GTATGTAGTAGATGCTCAATAAGCCTTTATAAATTAATGCTTGAACAAATGATTGAATGACACACCGGTGAACAAGAAAAACAAGGCTCCTAGTCTTAACTCTCATTCATATCATGTTTTACAGCTCTTTTACCCTTTTTATATCTATACTTTAGTTGCTTTTTATAAGAAGTCTAATAAGATGGGGAAAGGGGGGATTATTACAGTTTTACAGAGTAGTAACATTCATTATGCTGTCTCCTAGCAGCATAAACTTTCCACTCAGATGAGTTCTTGAATGGAATGTATACACACACATCTGGGGAGGAGGGGAGATTTTTAAGTTAAGCAGATGTGAGAGACTGGAAGCATTGGACAGTTGGTCACCCCGTCAATCCCTGCCCCTCCATTCTCATCTTCAAAATCCCTGAGAAACTTCCACAGAAAATTAAGACATCTCAAAAAGCACAGGCTAAAAGAAACTGAGGATCACAGATATGATGTGGCTACTGCTATCAAACAATTAAGGGGTTGTGGTGACAGACTCATTTCTAGCAAATATGGTTGAAGGTCAGGACTTGATTCCCAGAGGAAATGGATTATTGAAGAGCTACCACTATTGACACATTATCAAGGCCCAAAGTGAAGATTTAATAGCACATGAGAGAAATTCTAGTGATTAAAGCAATTGCCCAGCAACTTTAACTCTCATATTGTAACACGTGTCACAAAAAAGATATATTTTATTTCTTAGCATAGGATCCTGTATGCTGTCAATATATTTTAGATAAACCAATTAAACCTAACTAATGCTTCTTCTTCTAAAAAAATGTTGGGGCAAGCACAGCATTAACACAGAAGTTTCAGCAGACCAAGAGACACTGCTTAGACCTTAGGCTTTGGTAAGAATGGGCCAGGTGGATTTAACCCTGGTTATAATGACTTAGATTGCACCAACTGACTGTTTTTTATCACTTAAAGGGATGTAACATTAAACCTTAGGCATTAATGAGTACAGACCTCGTAAGGTTTAGTCCTTAGAACAAATTAGACTATAAGAAAAAGATAACCCTTTTAAAATTTTCTTAAATAAGCTTTTTAAGCATTAGGTGATAAAAAAAAAATCGGCTGCTTTTTTTAATGGATTTCTCAGCTACATCTCAAAACAACTAGGCCAGAAATCTGGAACAGTGGCTGAATTCAAAGTGTGCTACAAGCTGTAGTAAAGTTAAAGCTTAAACTTAACTCCAGAGACACGTATGCTTGCCTGCTATCAACTTTCTCAAACTGTGTGCATGTGTGTGCGTGTGTGTGTGTGTGCATGTTCATGTGTGTGTGTGTGCATGTTCGTGTGTGTGTGTGTGTGTGTGTGTTATTTTGAAGTGACCTTAGGGTTAACAGCAGTGGAGGAAACCAGACCAAACTTGAATTCGTGTGTCATGTCCACAGCCTTCAGTTACAGAAACAACACAGTCTCAAGGAGGCTCTGCATTTGAAAATTAAAGAAACTAATTATTAGAGTTTGGAGGTTTGAACCATACCCCCACTCATAGAAGGGATGTGGATTTTATTAATATTTAAATCAAAAAGAATGGGGATTCTTTTTATAAAGAGAATATGCCCTCTTCCTAGGCTGAGGTCAAAATATAACTGACTGAGACTATTAAATGCCCCAAAACTGGGAAAGCAATTTAAAGGTCTGTGCCCATCAGCCTCTGGCTCTGAAATTCTGATTTACCCCAGGAATCAAGAAGGAACTGGAATTTCTTACCATCAGAACAAAAGTAGCAGAAGAAGGAAAATAAAATTAAAGACGTCAAACAGAGTAGTAATGAGAATGATATTTCCTTGAAAGAAATGTTGGGATCTTACAACATAAGCTGGGCAGATATGAAGGGGAAATGAGATGTTAAGAGCCAGGAGAAAGAACTACAAAGTTAAAAAGGTGATGGACTTAAATCCAGTTTCTTTTGAAAAAGGTAACAGAAAAGGGCAATACATTTCAGTTGTTACTAGTTCAGAAGGGAGGACGGGTACCTAAAAAAATCAATCAGATAAAAAGAGTAAAGGCCTTGGAGAGCAGATATAATGACATCCTGGAGAGAACTAAAGTTAGAAAAATTTTAAAAGATCCCTCATAAAGCAGCAGCATTTTGTAAGAACAACTGGGAAACCATCCCTTAAAAACTGAGACAGAGTGATTAAGTGATTAAGAAAATCTGGTCATATTTGAGAGGGAAACCCAGGAAAACAGGTGTAAAAGACTCCAAAAATTATTATGTAACTTTCAAAGGAACAGAAGTATGGCCAAGGGGGTCTAGGGAAACATATTTCGAAAATCTCTGGAACTGGTACTCTAAGGGAAAATGAAACAAAGAGAGGACTTACTGAAGGGAAATCAGACAGGATGGTTACAGGTCAAGACTTGGTATGGAGCAAACGTTGGTCTGAAAGGAATATTATCTTTGAGGTGGGACTAACCTACTCGAGAGGATCAAGATGGTCAAGGCTTGTTTGAACAAGGGATGTGGAACAAACATAGAATTCACCGACTTCATCTTTCTCAAGACAAAACTTTGAGAGTAGAAAGAAAAACAAATGCCTGGGCCAGAGATCAAAGGGAAAGGAAAAGTAAAAAAGGCACTCAGGTCCAGGAAACAATGTTGTCCTCTGTGAGCTATGGAAGTAAAGAGACCAAAAGATGAAGCTGAATAAAAAGTCAGAAATACAGCTCAAACGACCTGAAAAGAATATGGAAACAATAAGAGGGAAAAAAATACCAAAGCCTAACTTCATGTCATCAGAAAAAAAGACTTTAACTGAAGAAAATACTATTCAAGACTTGGGAAGTTTTAAAAGTGAGATATGAAAGTGTTTTGAAGATCAGATGGCAAAAATATTAATTATCGCTAGACTCTAACTGTTCACATATGTCAACTGCAACTTCAGGTAAGGAATATGCTACCAGTGATCCTTCAAGTAAAACAAATGAAGTGATGGGGGCGAAAAATATTCCCTAGGACACAGGTGCCAACTGGAAGAGCTCTCACTGATCAAGGCTGGACCAAGTTGGGAAAGGAGCATTAGATTATAATTCAAAGTATAAAATAGTTATCCATAAACCCATACTGATATAAATGACTGATTAAATAAATAAATGGGGGGGTGAGGTTTGAATCTACCACGTAGAAGAATTCCAAACAATTTATATAGACACTCTGCCTTCTAGAAGGTAAAACGTAACAACCAACTCTTTAAGTGTGGGCTGCACACAGTGACTCTTCCTCCCAAAGAATATGGCATGAAAAGCAGGGAAAACAGAACTTTACAGAGGAGAAACTTGATAAACTCTACTTCAATCAGGTAATAAACGTCCATATCAACAGTGAAAAGTCATGTTGATAGAATGCACCTTTGATAAGATTTATGAACGTGGCACTTTACCTCTGAAGTCTTCCTTCCAAAAACTTGTAGCCTTGGTCTAATCATGAGAAAAGCATTATTCAAACCCAACTGACAGACATTCTACCAAATACATGACTAGTTCTCAAAACCATCAAGTTCATCACAAACAAAGAATGTGTGAGAAACTGTCACAACCTAGAGCAGCCTCGGGAAATATGACTAGTAAGTGTAATGTGAATCGTAGATGGGACCCAGGAACAGAAAAGTGACATTAGGTAAAAGGTAAGGAAATGTGAATAAAGTATGGACTTCAGTTAATAATAATGTAGCAATATTGGTTCATTCATTGTAATAAAAGTATTATACTAATTGAATATGTTAATAATATTGGTGGAAAATGACATCAGCAAAAATGATGGAGTAGGAAACTCCAAAGGTCGATCCCTCCACAAAAAACAGCAAATAAACTGGTAAACACTATCATTCAACATTTAAGTCTAATATCCATTTGAGCTAATTTTTGTATATTGTGTAACTTAATCAACTTTTTTTTTTCCTGATTGCCTTGGGTCAGTAACTGTTTTTCTGTCATTTACTATAGACCTTAGGCAACACAATGTTTCTGAGCCTGTTACATTAACAATAAAATGTAAGATTGCTGCAAGGATTTAGGTTATTTTCTATTTGTTTATTTATTTGTTTATTTGTTTATTTATTTATTTATTTAGGCTCTGCCGTGCAGCTTGCTGGATCTTAGCTCCTCGACCCGGTCGGGCCCTCAGCAGTGAAAGTGGGGAGTCCTAACCACTGGACTTCCAGGGAATTCCCTAATTTCTGTTTAATATCAGGCACATGTTAGGCACTGCTAATATTGCAGAGATGGAACTCTCATATTAGAAAAGGGACTGTTCTGGGAGAAGAATAGGAATAGTGACTGAAAGTGTGAAAGTTAAATTGTATACAGATGGGAAGTAGAAAGAGGGCACTAGTCCCTGAAAATATGTAGATTTTTAAGGAATTTAACACCAACTCCCACCACTACCACCATCACCACCACGTGCTCAGCTGGTGTGTAAGAATGCAAGACACGGAGAAGACCAATCTCTCATAAGCTCAAATTCCACTTTAATCTACCCCTTGGATGTTTTAAATGAAAATTTCTAGTGGCTGGTAAAAAAAAGCTTAACTCTGAATACTACAGAGGGCTCAAACTTCATGGCCTAAGAATCCAGAATGCATCATAAGAATGTTTTCTTTGCTGGTACAAATATTTCCAGAGGGTTATTACTTTGAAAGAAATGTAATTCAACAAAGGCTTATGCACTATCCAAAGATATGGACTTTTAATAACTCCTGAAAAACGGAATCCAGGTCATATATTCTCCCAATAAAATGTTCATTGTTCAAGCCCATCAGGGCTTCACTAAATGTAAGCGATTCCATTTTCTGGATCCTAATCCACAACATGAGCTTTTTGCCATTGTGGCTCCCAAATAACCCCTGAAATTTGCATAAAGGTTTTGAGTGGAACCCCTCGAGGCACTATCTAGGGTGCATGTGTCTGCATCCCTCAAAAACACCATACACGCCCCCCTACCCAAAATTAAAATAAATACCTCCTTTATACAGCTACAGGGAGTTTCTCCACTCTTCTTTCCAAAAATAGGGCAACTTTATGTCTCAGCAATCAGCATCAGTGGCCTCCCGTGGTCACCATCCCCCAAACAAAAGTCAGGGTAAGTCTAGATTGCACTCTGCATGTTTTCTATTTGAGGCTCTAAACAACCAGAAGCAGAAAAAAAGTAAAGGTCAAAATTAACAACATAACAAAACTTTCCTGTCACTAATCACTACAAGGTAATGAGAGTAACAAAAGGAAGAGTCCAGGTTTATGTTAATGCCTTCCAGCCAAAGACCACCAGAAACACACACAGTAGGTCGATTCTTCATTGCAATGAGGGAGACACACAAATGAAGAACCATGGGGTGTCTCAGTGAAGGGGTGTTGGAAAGGACTTACTGTTGGATTCAGGCTTGTGTCAGATGATTTGGGAGAGGGTTCAAGGAAGTAGGTGAAGAATCCGACAGTCATTCATGTTTCCTGGGGACTGTCTGGCACTTTTGTGTTTGGACAATATTCATGCTTTTGTCAGATGCTCTGTCATGATTACAGACTGGTTCTGTTTTTCTCTTTATCCATTGTGGTCACAGAGTGGCCTTGTCGGGTGCTGATGTGAAACTGTTGAGGTTTGGCAGACGAACACCATGGCCTGACTGTGAGTGTCAGGCCAGCTCTTAGCAACACCAAGGCCTCCCTGAGAGCACAAAGTCACCTCCTAGCTGTCACTTTAATCAGTTGTATGGAAACATAAACCAAGGAATGTAACCTAATCTAGGAGATCATGGATGGCTTCCCTGAGGAACTGACATTGTTGAAAGATCTTCTGTTACCACAGCCCAGGGGTTCATTTTAGCTGTCTCTTATGTTTTCTTCTGCTCCTCAACACTATTATTTTTCTACAAGTGAATAAGGAATATTTAAAAAAAAGATAGATTTTGTCTTCACAGTTAGCTGAGTTTGAGTGGTACCTGAAGAAAAATGAGAAAAGGAAGTACAACCTTTTTCCTTCCTTATTTCAAATCTTATTAGTATAAATGAGAAATAAGTTTTCCCTGCTGTAAGAATTAATGAACTCTTTTGCAAAATTCATGTGATCAAAGTCTTTAAACCTCATGAAATTCCAGATCTTCAAAAGGCTTTAGGGGTTTAGAGAAGGTTAAATCCTTGGGTTAATGGGTTGAACATCCCACCTGCTATTAGGTTGAACAGAGATATTATAAATAAAATCCTTCTGAAATGGGTCACACTTAAAAAAAAAAAACTTATAGGGATCCTATTGATCTAACAAGAACTTGGGAAACTGGTAAGCATACAACCATGTAAGGACAGTCGGCTGATGGGGTGGTGGTTACTTCAGTGCTGCAAACAACCCTTCGTTTACCAATGTATCGTTCTGGTGAAGCAGTTCCAACCACCAATGGCAGGCTGCTGCCTTGAATTCCCCAGGGGTCTCATCGATGACAACAAAAGCCCAGAAGCAGCTGCTCTTTGGGAGCTTGAGGAAGAAACTGGCTATAAGGGTGATGCTGCTGAATGTTCTCCACCTGTACGTATGGATCCAGGTTTGTCAAATTGTAACACACACATCGTGACAGTAACTATCAATGGAGATGATGCTGAACACGTAAGGCCTAAGCCAAAGCCAGGAGATGGGGATTTTGCAGAAGTAATTTCCTTACCAAAGAATGACCTGCTGAAGAGACGTGATGCTCTGGTAGCTGGTGAACATCTGACAGTGGACACCAGAGTCTATTCCTACCCTCTGGTACTGAAACATGCAAACATGAAGCCTTCTGAAGGGCCCTTCCTGAAGTTTTAAGGGCAAAGGACAGTGGCCACGTTTTTGTAAACAGAACCACCAGGCCTCCTTCACTAAGAGTTTGTATTCAGCTTAGTTTTAATGTAGATTTGAAATTAGCTTTTTCATAAAATAAAAGCAATATAAGTAAATTAATAAGTAAAGATCCTCCTGTAATCTGGCAAAATAGAAGCAGGCCTCTGAGAACTGGCTGTGTGTCCCTCCCGGGGAGACTGTGCCCTAATCTTAAATCCAGAGAGCCCGTGAGTGAGGATCTGAATGACTATGCACTGAGTAATCTGGGACATCTGACTCCTTATGGGTTGGATATTTGAATTCCCAGTGGCATTTTTATTTTAAATATTTAGTTCTGAGGCTAAACCATGATAACAGTAAAACATAGTAGGTGTGATTTTTTTGTATATTTTTTCGGCCATCAACTGATAATGCATTAGTAAACACCTCAAACAAAGAATCATTTTTGTTATTTTAGTTATAAATTCAGATTTAATTTCAACAAATACCTATGAGGCCCCCCTAATTTGTCAAAAATTGTACTGGTGATTTCATCTCACTACCATGCAACAATGTGGTAGAACAAGTATTAGCATGCCTGGATTTTTGAAAAACAGTTAATAATGAACCATATTCTTCTACATATGACATTTAGTAAAGCAAAGTCCTGCTGATGGTGAGAAGCCCAGCATATGAAACAGCACAGGAATCTCATCTCTGACCAAGAGGCAACCTTCAATGTGCATTTGGTGCAGATTCAGAAACATGGAAAATTCATTCAGAGATCCAAGCATGTAAGTCCCCATAGTAGATCTTTTTTATAGATACGGAGTCTGGAGGCAGTTTGAATGCAAATCAAAATCATATGCACTCATAAGAATGTCTGTATAATTACAGGGTACCCAATCCAGTGCACAGCATCTGAGAACTAGTCTGAGAATGCAGGGGCTAATTGCTCTCCAGGATTCAAAAGGGCACCAAGCACCTGGGAATCTAATTCCTTCCTACTACAGTATGCGGTAGTGGGTGTCTAGAAATTAAAACACTCCTAGATTTCATATTTCTTTTATACTGCCAAATACTTGCCAACCTATCTTATACAATCAGACATATTTTAGCATCTTGTAAATTCTACTAATTAAACATGATACAAGCAAGTTGAAAGAGCAGCCTCAGCAACAGAGGGGCAGGAGAAATTGCCTGACGAGAATGCCATACTGTCGGGACCCTCTGAAGTTTCTGTTTTGTTTCCACTGTTCTATTTTGCATATTTAAAAGTGCACTGGCTCAATATCTCAAAATAATTATTTTGCTTTATGTTAGAAAAAAAAGGGGAAAGATATGGACACCCATTCTGGCTGTTTTATTGCGATGTACAGCTAACACCGTGTCCGGCACCATTAGTTGCTATCTGACATACCAAACATAGATAAACAGGGAAGCAGGCTCAAGACTCTCACCCATTTTGGAAAACAGAGGAACACGACGGTAACCTGCAAAAAGAATCACATTTGATGAGAACAATAAATAAATTCATCAACAGTGGCCCTAGTAGTGCTCCTGAGAAATAATACAGTAAGCACATATAAAAGCTAGGACTACGTAGTTATATTCCATCCCATATATTAATTTTCCCCCAAAGTAAAATATTTGACGTTTCTATCCCGACTTCCTACTAAACACCACACAGCTCACACTTCTCCTCCCTCAAAGTGCAGCATCTCCAAAATTAGCCACCACCCTTCTGCTTCAGAAAGACTGTTTCCTAGGTATATCTCAGATGGTGGTAGAAAAGTAAAAATAAGGATAGAATTGGGAGCACAGTGTAAGTCACCCCTGAAAGGTAACTGCAAGGCAGCCCTGGAAAGACTCAAGAAAAGAGAGCCTTGGGCTCCCAGTACCTCCTCAGGTGGGAAGAAGGACTCACTGCTTCTCCCTTCTGTGCAGTTCCCATCCTTCATTCCTTCACGGTAGTCATGCCTACTCTTAACTGAAACAAGAGAGCTATGTCCATGTAGAGAAATTCTCATACAAGCCAAGTTTGTCTAATTAGTCTTCCTAGAAATCCCACTCCCCAACCCCACCTTCTGTATCAGAACACATTTCTGTAATTCCACTGGGAGAAAATATGTGTCAATACATAAATTTTCCTTTACATCTGACTGTCATGGAGAGAGCTATTTGGTATATAAAAGCGTGTCTTTGGAAAACTCCAATTATATATAAACATTAGCACAATCATCTTACTTTTAGGAATATTACCTTTGTTCATGCATAGAACTGGTAGAGTATATTGCCCAAGAAATTCATTTCCAGCTATTAAACCTTGATTTTCAACAACAAAACGTATCAATGCCAATTCTGGCACCTGAATAATAAATGTGAATGTTTCATTCCATCTTGGACTAAAAGCTGAAATATAAAGAAAGAGATACAACCAAAAAAAATCAAACACCATCCCTAGAGAAAAATGCATAATATCTGTTCTCTAAAATTCTTATTTTCAACACTTTTAATAGTAATAATAAAAGCTTGGGGTTTAAAGCACTTAAATTTTTAATGCACCCAATGACAAAGGAATAATAATGACAATAATAACACTTATTAGGTGTCTACAATTTCTGGGCAATATTCTAAAAAGTTTAAGCAGATAATCTCATTTAATCCTCACAAAAACCCTATCAGGGTTATTTCTATGCACATTTACAGATGAGAAAACTGAGCCACAAAGATGTTACATAAGCTCTGAAGGGTTTCACATAAATAGCCATTAAGTGCTCGGGCAGGGAGTCAAACAAATGGAGTCTGATTTCAGAATGGAAACGTTTCACTATTATACAATATGACTGTTGTGTTCCAGCATTTTATTAACAAAGAAACTGAGACATGAGGAAGTTAAATAACATCATTTTTCTATATCAGGTCCTATTATGAGAAGAGCTCTATAGACAGTTGTTGGAATGAGAGCTCACTAATGTTTGCTCTCAAGTCAGCTCCTGATCCTTCTTTTGACTAACTGCTCATTTTAAAATCCAAAGTCAAGGAGGAGCTTCAAGATGGCAGAAGAGTAAGACTAGAGATCACCTTCCTCCCCACAAATATATCAGAAATACATCTACATGTGGAAACAACCCATACAGAACACCTACTGAACGCTGGCAGAAGAACTCAGACCTCCCAAAAGGGAACAGACACCCTCAGGCAACCTACATGTAAAGGCAGGGCCAAATCCAAAGCTGAACCCCAGGAGCTGTGAGAACAAAGAAGAGAAAGGGAAATCTCTCCCAGCAGCCTCAGGAGCAGCGGATTAAAGCTCCACAATCAATTTGATGTACCTGCATCTGTGGAATACATGAATAGACAACGAATCATCCCAAATTGAGGAGATGGACTTTGGGAGCAATGACATTTTTTTTTTTTTCTTTTTCTCTGTTTGTGAGTGTGTATGTGTATGCGTCTGTGTGTGACTTTGTATAGCTTTGCTTTTACCATTTGTCCTAGGGTTCTGTCTGTCCTTTTTCTTTTTTTCTTTTTCTTTTTAGTATAGTTTTTAGCACTTGTTATCACTGGGGGATTTGTTTTTTGGTTTGGTGGCTCTCTTTTTTCTTTCTTTTTTTTAATTACTTTTTAAATTTTTTTAATAATTATTTTTTATTGTAATAACCTTATTTTATTTTATTTTTCTTTCTTTCTTTTTCTTTTTCCCTTTTATTCTGAGCCATGTGGTGGACAGGTCGGTGCTCTGGCAGGGTGTCAGGCCTGTGCCTCTGAGGTGTGAGAGCCAGGGTCAGGATATTGTCCACCAGAGACCTCCCAGCTCCACATAATATTAAGCGGCAAAAATCTCCCAGGGATCTCCATCTCAACGTCAAGACTCAGCTGAATGTGGATTTCTAACCTCTAGAACTGTGAGAAAATAAATTCCTATGTTTTAAGCCAACCAGTCTGTTTTTGTTGCTGCTGAAGCAGCCTGAACTAAGACACTGAGTAAGCATGAGTTAGAACTAAATTTGTGGTATCTTTGTATGGGTTGTTTGATCTAACCCAACCTGTCTGATATAATCTCCCCATAAACATGAACTACTTCTATTTAATTTCAACTCATTGAGCTTCATCAAAACAAGATGATGAGGACATGGGGAGGGGGAAGGGTAAGCTGGGACGAAGTGAGAGAGAGGCATGGACATATATACACTAGCAAATGTAAAGTAGATAGCTAGTGGGAAGGCACATAGCACAGGGAGATCAGCTCGGTGCTTTGTGACCACCTAGAGGGGCGGGATAGGGAGGGTGTGAGGGAGGGAGACCCAAGAGGGAAGAGATATGGGGATATATGTATACACACAGCTGATTCACTTTGTTATAAAGCAGAAACTAACACACCATTGTAAAGCAATCATACTCCAATAAAGATGTTAAAAAAAAATACAAAGTCGATGAGTAATTTATGTCCTTAGCAAAACAGATTATCCCAAACACTCTCTTGCCAAACAAGAAATCCAAATTGTATCACAATGTGACCCAAATCAGATAAAAATTAAGCATAATTGAATGGAATCAAGAAATTCACATCCAGATCAAATATACACTCTTATTTAATAAAAACTCAGAAGTTCAGAGAAAAATAATGTATTATTTTTCATTGTACAAAGGCAATGCTACACCTACTACTTCAATAGATCTGTCCTTTGAGTTACATTTCAAGAAGTATTGAAGCATTTATGACTAATTGTACCATATCTATGTTTTCTATGGTGCATCTGTAGTCACAAGTGCACATTTACTAAGAAGCAATCCAGAATGCAGTCTATGCCCGTAAAAATATTAAACAAATTGACTCACACTGAAATAATAACCATCCTACCTTGCCCTAAGAAAAGAAATAATTCAACAGAGTATAGGGGCAGGTTTAAGAGTCAGTTCTTTATAGACACTGAAAAATGTCTGCATGAAATTCTTATACTAATTTATTCTTTCTCCTCCAACCCTCCTTCACCATACTCTCTTTCACACACACACACACACACACACACACACACACACACACAATCATATACAGACATATATGAAAGTCCTTTTAGTGTCAAAATAAAATAAATAAATAAAAAATAAACCAGAATACCAAATTTGCTTAGTTACAAATAGAGTTAAAAATCACTTCCCCACCTTACCCAAATGTGATCGTTTTCCTCCCAGACTCTCATGTCTTTCATTACCCTACGATTACCCTAGTAGCTAAGTGATCTCAGAATCCCTCCTGTCCAGTTATCTACACCCTTAGTCTTGTTAGTCTTCCTCACATGCATCCTCCATTCCTTTTCTGATGCCACAGCCCTTGTTTAGGACCTGACTTCTACATGCTCTAACCGTGAGATCACATCTAACTCTATTCTGTATTTCTCATCTCTCTCTCATACACTTCGTCCTCTCTACTCTGCAGAAATGATCTCTGGAACGCTCAACTCTCTTAGTGTTTTGTATCCTTGTTTAAAAGTTTTAATTTTATTCATTTTATACAGAAAAGAAAGTTTCTACTACCTTATCATGGCTTTCACTATTTTCCATGACCATACCCAAGGTAAATTTCTCATTTTATCTCACACTAATCTTTCTTAAGTACACTGCATTTGAACTTCTTTACTCTTCCCTAACATGTTTGAATTTTGTTTTCTCCATGTTTTAGCACTCAAATTATTACTTTTGCCTTAAATTTCCTTATCCTTGGGAATTCCCTGGCAGCCCAGTGGTTAGGATTTGGCTCTTTCACTGCCATGGCCCAGGTTCAATCCCTGATCAGGGAACTAAGGTCATGCAAGCCTCTCAGCATGGCCAAAAAAAAGAAAAGAAAAGAAAAAGAAAAAAAGTTCCCTTATCCTCAATCTCTATAAAAATTCTACTCATTTGCCAAGAACCATCTCGAAATTTGTCCCTTCCATACAATTCTCTGTACTTTCTTTAAAGCACTAATGACTTTTTCATAACAGTTTTACTTATATTTCATATTCCACACTGAACTGTAAACTATCTACAGTAGAATTAGTTGGGACATACATAAGAATGCAGTTAATAAACAGAGATTTGAAGTTTTTTGATACTTAGAACCAGGCTTTTAATATAATGGGCCCAGTAATGTCTGATGAACCAAACTGAATTTCTGTAGGGATATTCTCATAAAACCCAGGGATGCAATCAAATTTCGGGAGCTAGAATCATAGTATTATATAAGGGGTGCATTGAATAAATAAATGTTCTGTGCATTTTGTCATGAAGATTCAAGTAAGGGGATGGAGAAAACAAGGGATAGGTTACTAGAAGCTTCCTGATAGCAGTTACCATTTCTTGACACTGCCATTTCAACTCTAAGGGGTGCCAAATAAGGCAGGAAGTCATCACTAATATCCCTTCCCACTGATAACATAGGATGAGGTAGCAAAACTTCCCAAACCTTTTTTCATGCCTTTTGCACTAGGGGCCATGCTGGAGGAATATTCTGGATTTGGGAGGAGTTGAACATTGGACATTTGTGGGGGGGGTATTATCACCAAAGAAGAAGAAGTCTACTAAGACTGCACCTGCTTCTCTGTCTGTGCCATTTAGCCTGGAGCATATTTCCAGACTCTGAAATGAAGTCCACTATATTTTGGGAATATCCACTCATAGAAGATTCTAGACTCAAAGGATCAGTTGCAAGCTCTCTTCCCAGGTGATTCTAAAAGTCAACCCCAAGAATCTATACTTTTCTAATTTCCTTCATGATTTCAACTTCAGAGAAGAAATAACAATGTCAGTACTGTATTACCTAAACTATCATGGGATGCTGGAACACTGAAAATCTTACCAAAGTCATTTCTTCCATTCCTACATTTCCCTTCTGGCAAAAATGACTGAATTTTTTATCCAAATACTGTACGAGTAAGTTTCTATGGCATCCTTAGCCTGAGTCAGAAGCCACAGACCTCTGATCTAAAATAATTCAAGTAGTGAAGTAAAACTACGTAACATGTGGTATCAGAGAAATCATAAGTTCTTTATTTTACACAGAGGCTAGAAGCTAAGTAGATTTGCAGCTATCAAAATGTCACTCTTAATTCAGTCATACAAGGAAACATAAAAAGGAAGTAAAAATGGAAAAGCCACTAATTTTTCAGGTCAGATACATTTTTGTATCTGTAATCTGAAAATACATCTAGCCAACATTAAGTCATTGTCAAACTGTTTTTACTGCATATAACACTTTGGTCATCTTGAACATAATGCAAAGCCTTTTCCTTATGAATAATAAATATGTATCAAAACTCTATCAATATATAATTTTTAAGCTTTTCAACAAGAAGTCTAATAAATGTTCGATAAAATATATTAGGAGCTCACCATTTTTTTTAATTACACGACTCTGCTGTTTCATTTGATCATTTGGAACTCCCAAAATTTCTATAATCACTAATGTGTCAGCTTTGTTAGATGATGAATGATAACTGGGAGGCAACTGGATCCCACTGATGAGCTGCACAAAAATAAGGGAATTCAAGAATTTAGCAGAATGTCAAACTGCACCACTGCTTAATTTCAAAATAAAATAGGTTTTCCAAAAATCATGATTGACTAAGTCATTTCCCACCAAAAAAACAAACAAACAAAGTAGAAAATAGTGCCAATTATTAATTTTAACTCTTTTATCCTCAAATATCAATAGATGAACACCAGGAACATGTCTAAATTATTCCAGTTTACCAATATGTGATTATAATAGAATCCACATTCTCCAAGATTGATGGTCCAACAAATATTTTTATTTTAAAATCATTGTTATGATTCCCTTCTACTGTAATTCAGGCTGAGTCGCTCCAAAAACATGAACTCTTTTCAGATTCATATTGTATGTATACAACAAAAAAATTGTAAACTATAAATACAACTTCTGAAATATAAGAAAAAACACCACATAATTTCCTATGATAGCATTCTCTGACAGTATAATTTATATGTTTGGATAATTTATCATGAAATTTTACCTTATCCATTGCTTTCCATATTATCATAAGTAACCTGAGTTTGACAAAATCAATTATTTCATATATATATATTAGGGACTGGATAGCAGAAAATGCTTAACAAAGTAACTAATAATAGTTTTATTTAGTCTTCTATTAGTCAAGCTAATTGTTGAAGCACAGATTTGTTTTACTTTAAGGAACAAAGTCCGAATTAAAAAAAAACAACAGTATTTGAAGTGTACTAGTTTATAGAGTGTACTAATGTAAAAAATTGAGACATGATTTCAATTTCTGAAGATTATAATAAAGAGGAACAAATAAATAATTGTTGTGAAAAAAGAAAGAAGGAAAAGAAAAGAAAAAAGCGCCAGTGTGTAATTTTTTCCTTCCTACATCCACAAATTATGGCATCAGCTAGAAACCAGAGTAACTGTGCAAATATTTAACAACCAGAATGGAACAGGCATTCATCAATAAGCATAATTAGATATCAAGGTAACTTGAAAGAACATTGACTGTAAAAAACTAGTACACTGATAGCAGAGCCTATCAGCTGAATATAGGCCCTCCAGGTAATAAACCCTTATCAGTATGGAGAAGGTGCATACTGAAATAGAATTTAGAGATTTATTGTTCAAATAATTTGTACACTCTGATTCACAAAGCCCTTCCAGGGGCCGCTGCAGAGGATGGAGGTCAAACAGAAAACCCTTAGTGGTCAACCAGATAGTTCTGTTTTCATCTATTGGTCTTATACATGAGATTTTAAACTTAGAAAATGATACCTTAGTTTTTATAAGCTTGAAAATAACTGATTTAATCCAAAGTTCTCTGTTTACAGTTGACAAAGAGTAAACCAGAAATGTTACATGGCTTCATCAAGGACATAAGAAAGCTAATGGTAAAACTAGGCCTTTTTATTCCCAAATCATGCTCTCCACAATTTGTACAAGTCATAATGTAATCACAAAGCTCCTTAGAACAATCAGAACAAGAGGGGAAGACACACATGGCTATGGCAGCAGCTTCCTAGGAAAATCATCAACCCTGCCTCTTTCACACCATGTCACTTACACCCCTACATGAGACCTCTCAGAATACAAACAGGTGGCATTTGTAAACACCTATGCATACCAGCTATCCTCCTTCTTCACTTTCTCAATAAAAGAGCACATATATTCTCTTTAGTATTCTCAACTTGAAAAAGAAATCATTCATTCAATTAACCTACATGTATTGAACATATACTTTGTGTCAGTTACTGTGGATAAGGGTTGAAAAAAACACAGTCCTTATCCTTAAAGGACCCTCAGACAAGTGGGGGGAGAAAGACAAGTATAACAAGTAGATAATTATAATTTACAGTGTGGTAAGTGCCATAATGTATGCATGTATAGGGTGTTATGGAAAAACAGAAGAAAACTTCAAAAGAAGCACAGGAAAAAGCTTCCAAAAAGAAGTGACACTTAAAGTATTGAAAAATGAGTCAGAATGCAATAGGCAGATGAAGGATGGAAGAGTAGTCCAATCAAAGGAAATAGCATATGCAATACATAGAAGAGTCATTATGGACAAAAAAGAAGGCTTCCATACAGTTTCGGAATGGGTTGAAAGGCTGGAAGAAGTGAGAGATGAGGCTAGAGGAGTAGGACAAAGCCAGACTAAGAAAACGATCAGGAGACACAAATAAATATTAAGTAGGCATGATAAGATTAGCACTGCAGCAAAATCTCTCTGGTTGACTTGTGGAAGATGGACCAGGACAACTGAGACAAGGCTCCCTGAAAACCCCTTAGGAAGCCAAAGGAATGGAGGTGATGACAGGTAACAGATTCCTAAAAAAAAGACAGTAACAAATGACATCAGATCAAGGGGATGGATAAGGAAGACATTTAAAGTGAGATCTACAGAACTTAGAAATGGATCGGACATGGGAAGTGAAGGAGATGTGGAAGACAAGAATAGCTCCACTTTTCTTGCCTGAATTAATTGAGTCAAGGAATTTGACTCAGTTCACTGAGATTTAAATAAACTAGAAGTAGATTTGACGAGGAAGGGATGTTCAGGCTTTAATATTTTAAGTTTGACAGAATATTGGTAAGGAGGCTAAGTAGGCTATTAAAAACAAGTCTTTATAGTCCAAAAATGAGGTCAGATTTGAGCATTGTTTGGGGTTGAAACAGTGAATGTGTATAATGTGAATGTGTATAAAAGAATACAAGGAGGATGTTTAGTTTGAGATGAGGATTAAGAAATTCTTTCTCACCCACAAATGAAAGTGAGAAAGAATCGCCTGCATATAGATTAAAAAGGAAAGAAGAAATCCACAGAAGCACATCAATGAGATTTGTGTGGATTAGGAAGGGATCTGAAAAAGTGGCTGAAACACCCCATCTTCTCACTAGAACAACAACTAGAACAACTAGACTAGTTCCTCTAAATTAGAACTATGCAATTTTTTTCATTCATGCAAAAAGGCAACAGAAAGACATTTTTCAGATATGGAAGGATGCTGAAATACCACCCACCTACATTACCTGAAAAGATTAACAGAAATTTAAAAGGCATTAAAGAAAATCAATAGAACTAAAAATATTAATGCATACTATCTAGCTTATATCATAACCAATAAAGGTAAAAGAAAAAGTAATGAATCTTACCCTTATCATAAGTATGATTGGATTACTGTCCATTAGTGCTTTATTTGGATTAAACTTTGTTTTACTATCTCTTAGGAAGTGTGGTTTCAAAATATATCCAGAACCACCATTATCCAAAAATTTCCCATTTTGAAGATCCATAGGCAGACCAGGGGTCTGGAAATTTAAGGCCACTGTGAGGGAAAAAGAGTATTTTGATATTGTCAGGAAATAGAGGGTATATCTAAAGAAACACAATTAAACAGTTTACTGAAACCTAATCATGGATTATATATCTTCGAACATTGTAAGAGCAAGCATTAGCCAAATAAGTCATGATTTTTAAACCTTTCTTTTGCCATGTCTTTGTTAACATATGAAGGTGAGTTTCAAAATTTAATCTGCAAATTATTTTACAGCTTTGAGTTAAAAAATCAAAATGGCTTACAGCATAGATTATAGAATAGCAATGTACATGTCAGAAAACATTCAGGAAATATAAGAGTAAAGAAAATCAGTCATTAAATGCTGGAAGGGAAGACACCAACCGTATCATAAACTTTCAGGTCTAAAGAGGTACTGTAATCACTTGAGGAGAAAGCGAGGAACAGGCAGAGCAATAATTGTTGTTAAAATAATAGAAACAACTCCGTATAGGCTGGTAAACAGCCACTATATGCAGTACCACCATCTACCCCCCACTGCCCTCCCCAGCATCCTGATCCCACCCCCTCCCTCTCTGAAAACCTATGGGCCTTGTCACAATCCAGCAGCAGAAGGGTTAACACCTGGCACTTTCTGACTGGTTAGTCCCACTGGTGCACCAGTTGATCAGTTTGGAATAAGGAGAGTCAGTCAAGGACAAATAACAAAGCTATGCAGTCTTACTTTTCAATACTATGAATGCAGAAGTGATTAAAGTACAAAAAGCACAGGCCACTCCATTTGAAGAGGCCCTTAGCAAATCTTTCAAGCAAAGGACTCTATCTTCACTGTTCTCTTACATCTCTTTTTGGTTTCTTTTTCCCATTCCTACAATTCCCATGCAAACTCCTCATGAATTTAACCTCCATGCTTCTACCCTCACCTAGATTTACCCTTTTCAACCTATTTAGGAATAACTTCAACTCTTGAAGCCAATGATTCATCATTGCTTGACTCCAAAACACCCAGGCTCGAAAATTCTCCAAAGGAAGCTCTTTTCATGAATCTTTTATTAATTCACAAAATGAATTTATTTTATCTTATTTTTGCAAAAAACTCAATATCCTATGTAACATACCCATTTGACAACCTACATTCCAAAATTCTTGAGGATTAAAATTAGAAGAGTCTGCTCTTGTTGCTTTGGGATATATTCTGGTAATGAACTTTGTGGTGTGAAGAATAAATTCATTGGCTAAAAAAAAGAAATTTATTAAAACATTGCAAAGATTTCAAATAAACTACTATGTCTATATATTTATTTAATTCTACAACAGTTTCAATAATGTTGATGTCTATTGTCCTGGCAGAAATATTTGCAATTCATGTAAATCAAAATAAATTCATGCCTTTGTTTGGCAGTGTAATTCACTGTTATCGAAAAGTTAATAATAATTTTTATTAAACAATTTTATGTAATTATTCACTCGAAGAAAGAAACAATTGGACAATATATTTCTTTTTGTTCACATCCAAATTAATTTCACTTTGACATAGAGTATATAAAATTCCAAAATAAAATGCATCCATTTTTGAAAACAAAAGTATCTTAACCCATTTTGGTTTTTTTCACTTAGGTTTTCATATTAGGAAAGAACTGCACGGAAGTCATATAAAACTATGTGATGTCATCCAAGTTAATCAAGTTGAATATTTAACAGACCCTCAGGGCTGAAAGAGACCTTAAAGTTACTCAACTCAGCTTCCAGCTGACCTTCTAACCACCATAGTACCTTTCCCCAAAATTCATTCAATTTGTTTGCATCCCTCCATTGAAAGAGAACTTGAAGGACTTCCCTGGTGGCACAGTGGTTAAGAACCCACCTGCCAATGCAGGGGACACTGGTTCGAGACCTGGTCCAGGAAGATCACACATGCCGTGGAGCAACTCAGCCCATGCGCCACAACTACTGAGCCTGCATGCCACAACTACTGAAGCCCGCACTCCTAGAGCCCATGCTCCTCAGCAAGAGAAGCCACTGCAATGAGAAGCCCGCACACTGCAAAGAAAAGTAGCCCATGCTCACTGCAACTAGAGAAAGCCAGCGTGCAGCAACAAAGTCCCAACGCAGCCAAAAATAAATAAATAAATAAAGTTATTAAAAAATAAAATAAAAGGTATTTGTTCTTCAAAAAAAAAAAAGAGAACTTGCTACCTCCCAATACTTCTGATTATTTCAAATGTCTTCCTTACAAGGAAAGGAAGACAATGTCTATACTTGAAGCACACACACACACACACACACACACACACACACACACACACGCAGAGTCTGTTTCAGTTGCTATACATATTCTTTATGTTTCTACTTGTATTTTTTTACACATTTCTAGTAATTCTATTTAAATCACTTAAGATTCAAAACTAATTTACACCATTTACCACTGGACACCCCTCAAATTTTTGAACATAGATTTTATGTTTCTCCAAGGTTTTTATTCTTTCACTAAGCAGATTCTTTTCCCACTACTATTTCTGCTAATATGGTGACAAGTCATGGAAGAAATGGTTATTGCCTATGTCCACTCTATTTGCTCTTCAGGCTAGAACAGAATCATTGCCACTCTCATCCTACAAACTGTTCTTTAGGAAGCACTGTCAGGTAAAAAATTACAGTTACTGAAGTTAATAGTAATTACAGTTAATTTAATTAACTCAATTTTAGAAGTTATCCTCTCCTTGAGGAAAAGTTCACTTTGAAGCTACCCATGTACAAATGCACTTTGTGTGCCCAAGTGACATGGTCCCTTATCCAGTCCTAAACTAGATGTCTATCTGTTGATAAAATACGTACTCTTCTGGGTCTTAATTTTTTTCATCTACAAAGCGATAAACATGAATGATCACTATGGACCCTTAACATGATTTTGTTACTTCTGAGATTTAGAAATTAAACATGCTATTTTTTCACATAGCATGAGAAATGTGAAAAATAAGAAAAAATAAGAAAACAACATATAATCTCACCACTCAATTAATAACCCTGATAACCTCTTGGTATATATATATTTCCATTCTTTTGTCATATGTATATACATATTTTTAATTGAATCTTATTGTTTATTCCCTTTTATAAACTTCCATTTTTTAACTTACTAAGATAACACGAAAATCATTCCATTTCAGTAATATTCACCTACGACATTATTTTTAAATGACTGAAAAGCATTCACACATATGAAAATTTCTGTTTCTGATTTTTCCCTATTATAAACTTAATGATGTTTATTGTTTTTAATGATAGACATCCTTGCAGAACATCTTTGCCCAATCATTAATTATTTACTATTAACTTTTGGCACAAGAAAAATATTCTATACTCTTTCCAAAGAAATGCTGATGCTATATTTTATGACTCTGCTCTGAACTACCCAGTCCGTTTTCAGATTTTGAGCAAGTGTTTAATATGATGAGAGTGAGAGAATTATAACGACTTTTGCTGTGCCCAGACGTCCTGTCCCCATGAACAACAACAACAAAAACCATCCGATAGTTTGAAACAATGGAGGCTAGTAAAGTAGGTCATTCATATTCAAACTCTGTTGACAATAGTTCACAGTAAAAAATATGCTTTATATCACAACCCAACACCACACACACACACACAAAATTGTTTCACAAAACAATACTTACTCTTCCTGCCTACAATACATCTTCTCCATCCTATTATTTTGTTCTATTCCATTCCATTTTGTTCTATTCCATTCCATTCTACTCTATTCTATTCTTTTAACTGTCATTTAGATCTACTGAATTGACTTTTGGTCACAAGCCTCAATTTAAAAAAAAAAAAAGCCCTATATAATATAGGATCTTTCTAATAGGCAGTTTGAGGAGATAAGCTAAAGCATGCCTCAAAACCCTAGGGTTGGTCTTCCCTGGTGGCGCAGTGGTTGAGAGTCCATCCGCCTGCCGATGCAGGGGACGTGGGTTCATGACCCGGTCTGGGAGGATCCCACATGCCCCAGAGCGGCTGGGCCCGTGAGCCATGGCCGCTGGGCCTGCGCATCCCGAGCCTGTGCTCTGCAACGGGAGAGGCCACAACAGTGAGAGGCCAAAAAAAAAAAAAAACCCTAGGGTACCAATGGCCAGCCAAATTAGGTAAACCAACAAATATACCAGAATCTGCATTTCCTAATAGCCAACAGCTTTTCTCAAGTCAGTCGCAGGTGCTGATTTCTCTGCCATAGCGCTTCTACATAAGACGGTATATTGCAATTTTAAAAAGGATATGGAGAGTCACCTGATTCTGATTATTAAGGTAATTGACTGTTGAGGCACAGGGTAGGCTGCCCCTAAAATGTGCTTCAGTGGCATATTGATTATTTTGAATTAAAGTGACTTAAGAAATGGCCAATGCAAGAGGGACGCTCTATCCCTCCTTTCTGTCTCCTTCAAAGCAGGAAATAAATGTCTCATGTGAAAGACGCACTCCCTGCGTCTGAACATAGGACACCCTTCCCACCAAAGACAGGGAATTCAGGGCTGAGAAGACTGTGAAAACAAACTTTGTGACTTCTTTAATTTACTACCCCAAGCCCAAACGCTGTTTGAATTCTTCACTAGTTGGTCACCCAAAACCTAAGTTTCTTTGTCCTGTCAATTCCTCACAAATTTATTGTTTCTTTGTCTAAAAAGTATAAAACCTGCTGACATTGGTCACTTCTTAGTTCCCATTTATATGAATTAAATTTTGTTTCTTTTTCTCCTGTCAATATGACTTGCGTCAGTTTTATTAGTAGTCCAGCCACAAGAACTCAAGAAGGATAGACGGAAAAAATTTCCCCTCCCGACAGACCATCCCTTTTTTTTTTTTTTTTTTTTTTTTTGCTTCGCGGTCCTTTCTGTGGTGTGGCCTCTCCTGTTGCGGAGCACAGGCTCCGGACGCTCAGCCTCAGCGGCCATGGCTCACAGGCCCAGCCGCTCCGTGGCATGTGGGATCTTCCCGGACCGGGGTATGAACCCGTGTCCCCTGCATTGGCAGGCGGACTCTCAACCACTGCACCACCAGGAAAGCCCAGACCATCCCTTTTTAAGTTGATGATATTCCCTGCCATATAAGTCTGAGAAGAAGGTAGCGTCTTCTTCCCATTCTCTTTCCCCGTTGTGTCTCGGGCTCTACCAAGCAGAATAAACCCAGAGTAGAGTCAGGAGACAGTGAAAAGAAGATGCAGAGACACATGGTCCCTCTGCAGGTACACAGCCATCTGGCAGTCTGGCCTGGGTACCATTCTTTTTTTTTTTTTTTTTTGCAGTATGCGGGCCTCTCACTGTTGTGGCCTCTCCCGTTGTGGAGCACAGGCTCCGGACGCGCAGGCTCAGCGGCCATGGCTCATGGGCCCAGCCGCTCCGCGGCATGTGGGATCCTCCCAGACCGGGGCACGAACCCATGTCCCCTGCATCGGCGGGCGGACTCTCAACCACCGCGCCACCAGGGAAGCCCCTGGGTACCATTTTTTCCCTCTTCTTCACCTTAGAGATACAGCCTCCCAGTCTATTTAACTCTACCGCTTAGTGCCCACCGAGTCCACAAAGTTCACCCTGGCTCCAGTCTCCCTGCCATAAGCCTTTATCATCTCCTCCCTGCAGACGGTGTCACCCTTATGCACTAACAGAAGCATCTTTCAGAAACACACAGGGGATCATGTGACTCCTGAGATTTCAATCTTTTCCTACTCACTTTGGATTGTAGGACAAAGTCCAAGTTCCTTGTAATTTGGCTTTGCCTACCTCTGTAGCCTTGTCACTCACTGCTCTCCCATGTAACCTGCTCACCACAGCCCATCCCAACAAAGTGTCCATACTGGACATTCTCAATCAAAATTTCATGACTTAAAATAATGGTTGAGTTCTGTGAAATAAAACTTAATGCGACCTGAGGCATATAACCCTTTTTAAAATATGTTAAATATGTTGAAATTGTACTAGAATATAGTTTTTCTAAACATCATTGATCAATTTTGAGACCTTAAAAGTGAATATAACTTGTTTAAACACTTCATCTATTTGAATCATAAGACCTTACCTCTCAACTTTGAAAGTTTTCGGGCTTGTGACTCCCCAATAGAGTTACTTTCATTAAATTGTTGATACAGTCTTGAATGGTGAAAACTTCTGAACTTCTCAATTTTAGTATAAATAACAAGATCAGATAGGGCCGTAGCTATTTTTAACTTTGCGGTGAAAAAAAAGGCAATAATTTCATATTTGCACTAATCATTTGAAAAATTATTTTTTCAATAAAGAAAATACGCTTTCAAATCAATGATTTTAGTCTTTTCATAAGATTATATCCTCAAAAACTATTTGGATTGGGTCAATGTGAATATGTTCTATTATGACAACATTTAATGTCAATTATGAGACAACCTAAACCTAAAATCCCAATTAATGTAATAAGTATTGAGGATGGCAATTATTTCTATTTCGAAAACACTTCTTGCGCATGCTCAATCCATGTGCTTAAGTGTCGGTAACGTGGACTGGGCCTGGCTAACCAGAGCTCTGCATTCCCCACAGTAAGTGGCTCAAGGATGCGCACAGCTTGGATCATAGCCAACGTGCAAAAAGAATCTGCTTGGTCAGCTGAGAGATAGATAGGCCTTCCATTGGATTTGAATCTGAAAGCATGTAAAACTGAAGCTTGGCAAAGGCCTGCACCAATATAGGAAAAGTAGGGCCAAAGTTGGAGAAAGAAATTTCTGTGGACTTTGTTTGATACACTTCAACCAAGTCATTCCTGAAATTAGAATCCCTTTCCCTAAACTTTTCATTTCTGTGGACCAATTGAATTAATTCACATTTTACTTAAACCAGCTGAATTAGTTTTGTATCTCTTGCAACCGTGTATACCTTCCTTTGTCAAGCTAACTTGTATACTTAAAATACTATATAATATAAATAGTGCTTTTCTTGTCTCTGACAGTATGATCGCCTTCAGAGCAGATACACTATCTTTTGTACACTGCACAGTGTCTAATACATAAGAAGGCATAATATTTGTTAGCTGTAGAGAAAAAAATAATCACAAACAGCTAATACAGGAATAGATGACTTCTAAAACTTCTTGTCCACTGCTAGTTTTTTCCAAACAAATTTTAAATAATAGACTGAAGTTATTATAAGTAGGAAAAAGATGTTTCCTCCAAAATGTTTTAAAACTACTCAACAAAACAGTAAGACAACTTTTCAATCACTTGTAAGGCTTTCGCAAAGCCTCATCTCACCTTTTTCTTGAAGAGTGGAATTCTGACTGCCCCTTTTGACTCTGCCTCCTTTTCCAAATCATCTTGAAAAGCATCCGATGGTTCTGGTCCTTTGGCCTCATATTCCTCCTCCTCTTGCTCTGCCTCCTCTTCTTCTTCACATTCCTCTACCTGACCATGCTTATCAGAACCTCTCCTTTCACGGGTTTCCCTTAAAGTTCCTATTTTCTTGTTTCTAACTAATATTTTGAATTTTAATGCCTACAGAAACAATTTGAAAGAAAGATACAATTACACATGCACAGGTAAATTTGCACTTGTCATTGTCATCGAAAAGTCTTTCATCATATTTTCAATTTGCCCACAGTAGTAAGATATGTAAAAGCTCCATCTTTTTTCCATATTCCTAAAAACCTAATAGAAACCAGTGATATTATTGTATTGACCAAAATTCACCAAAAAATACACCTGTAATGATTGGGGCTTTCTTTTCTTTTCTATTTCTTCTACATTCCATAAATTATTACTATGCACAAATTTGAAATACATGAAAATTATATATATAATTTTCTATAGATTATTAAAATTATATAATTTTATATAAATTATTATTTATATAATTATATATATACATATTTTCAATGTTACAGAAATTAGAATGTTATAACTTCTGGTAGTGAATGCTTCAGGTCATCACTCTCTTATCCAACATTAGAAGTATTATATGAGATCAGGTATATAAAAATGCCTATTATAGTATTTGACATCTAGTAAAGACTAAATTTAAGCTAAAGATTTATAAATCTTCACATTTCAACTGTACTGCATACGAGCATCATCAACTTAATATTTCCTGCCCATCAAAACTAGGAGCATGGCAAAATTCACCATCTGGGTCACTCATTCTAAATCCAAAGCCTTCTGGTTCCTTTCTTTCACTTACTTATTTCTGCCCTTTTCAAATATTCATTAATTTAACAAACATACTTAGTAAGTGCCTGGTTCATTGTATATAATGTTACTGGGATCTACCCTATGAAGAAAAATTCTTTTCTTTTTTTATTATAATGTTTTTATGTATGTATTTATTTATTTTTGGCTGTGTTGGGTCTTAGTTGTGACACGCAGGATCATTGTTGCAGCATGCGGGACCTATGGTTGCGGCAGACGGGCTTCTCTCTAGCTGTGGGCTCTGTAGTTGTGGTGCATGGGCTCCAGAGCACGTGGGCTCTGTAGTTTGTGGCACGCAGGCTCTCTAGTTGAGGCACACAGGCTCAGTAGTTGTAGCACGTGGGCTTAGCTGTCCCGCGGCATGTGGGATCTTACCACTGGACCACCAGGGAAGTCCCTAAAGTTCTTTTCTTTGAGGAGCTTTGATTGCCCTTCTCTTTGTCATCCTCAGGTACCCACTCAAATTATTCCATCATCTTGGGTCTTCTCTCTTTTACCATGACCCTCGTGTTACTAATACAGAGTTTACCAAAGTGCACTCTGCAACCACAAGTGTCAAAAGCATCACCTGGGGTGCTTGTTAAAGGAAAAGATTTCTGCAATCTACTTCAAAATTAGAGAACCAGAATCTTGAATTGTGGGACAGAATTATGTCTCTTTAACAAGTCTCCAGGCAATTCTTTTGTATACTGAGGGCTAAGCACAGTATGAGAAAATGACTTTATCTCTAATTTCTCATTTACTCATTGGAAAGCATCTCCTTACTTTAGTGTGGAAGCAAAAGCTTTAATGGAAATTATATATCTGAATACTAAAAAATAGATTTATAAATAATAAGGAGGAATTCTATTCCTAGAAAACTGAAATTATTATTATAATTTCCTGAATTAGACCATGACTCTTAGATTTAATCTCTGATGATGTGTTTACAGCACTCTGCACAAGTTGTTTAATATTTCTTTTCTGTCATAATTGAACACATTTAGCCTGTGAGCATTCTCATCAGGTGAAAGAGTCACAGTTTGTCCATTTGTTCAGTTTATTTTTCTCTGTCTTAATTCTATCGTGAGTCCTATACCTCTTGTCCTTAGTGTCATAACACTTTCATCTTTAAATTTTCTACTCATTTTAATAAAATAAAGACAAATATAAAGGCGGATATTCAAATATTACAAATATATACTATATCTACCAAAATGATGACATGTCAAAATTAAACTATTGGTTAGGAGTGTCAAAAAAGAAAAAAGTTCATTTATCACCTGATAAAATTTGGGTTGAGGAGAATGGACCAGCAGAGGAAACTGAAGAGTGGCCAGAGAGGAATGAAGAAAGCCTGAAGAATGTGGTGTTACAGAAGGAAGTGCTTCACGGAAAGGAAGGAGGCATCCATAGCGTTGAATGTTGTCAAGGCAACAAGTCAGAGGAAGGCTGAAATAGGTCCGTTAGAATTTACTGGTAGTGGGTACTTCTATGGTGGTCCAGTGGTAAAGAATCCGCCTTTCAATGCAGGGGACATAGGTTCAATCCCTGGTTGGGAAACTGAGATCCCACATGACGCGGGGCAACTAAGTGCCACAGCTACAGAGCCCATGTGACCTGGAGCCTGCACTCCACAACTACAGAAGCCCATGCGCTCCAGTGAAAGACCCCACAAGCCTCAACAAAGATCCCACGTGCTGCAACTAAGACCCGATGCAGCCAAAAAAAAAAAAAAAAAAAAGATAAAGAAAATAAATATTAAAAAAAAAAAGAATTTACTGGTAGGAAAGTGATGAGCACACCGAAATACTTACTTGGTGCACGTGGAAGAGGAAGCCTGATTAGGTAGGTTGTGAGGAGGCAAGGAAATGAAAATTTGGGTTCAGAAAGGAAATAATAAAATAAAAAGATAGCTGGAGTAGAAACTGCAATCCTGAGGGTAGGGTGTGGGTGCTTTTTTTAAACCAAATACTTGAGTATGCTCAACTGAAGATGGTAAGACGTCTGTAGAGACAGGGACATTGAAAAGAGCAGATTAAAAAAGGGGGAACCTGCCACCCAGATGCTGAGGTATTGGGCATGAATTCTATTTACAGCCTAGATCTTTGCCTCTTTCTTAGCCTTTGGCCTGTAAAACATACCAAATTCCTGTGGTCTAATATTAACTGACTTGAAATTTTGGACACATGGGATATAACGCACAATTAAAATGTGAATTTTTAGGTGTATCTCTATATATTCTCTTTATCAAAATGTATTCACCTACATGCTCACGGGACTATTTCCTCGGAAACACATTGCAAAGATACATCTCTATAAATAATCAAAACTAAGCATTTGTCATTGATCTCTAGCCCAGTTTCATGGGCCAATACAATAGTAGCATGTTTTTTTCTCTTTTTCTTAACCTGAGCTTCTCAGACAAAGTGTTACCTCTGGTGAAGGTAATTTGTCTGGAAAATCATCAAGAGTATCAGAAAGCAAGGCGTCGCCAAAAGTAGACTGCAAATTGTCTGCCATCACTTCTTGTTGGGAAGGGGAGCAGTGATTTTCTAAAGAGAGCACCACTGGGTAGTCAGATGTCTAAAAAATTAACCATTACTACAGTTATTAATCAAAACTCCTCAATAACTTTAATGCAATTTATAGAAGCACTTAATTTTAAAACATTTCTAATGTTCAGTACCTTCGCAAAATTATTACGTTTTCTTTAAACTGAAAATAGTTTTGAGTCTGACAAAACAGGGAACATTAAATCTGTATAAAAAGGAAAATTATTACTATTTGCATTAGAAGTATAGGAAAAAAAACTGAAGCACCCAACAGTGGGTACTTGTTTAAATAAATTATGGCATATCCTTTTAAAGGAATGATATAACTCTGTCACAAAAGAGGTAGAGCTATATATACTCTACAGAAAGTTATCTATGATCTAGTCTTATGAAGAAAAACAAGTTGCCAAAGAGTGAGATTCTACATTTTTTTTAAAACTACATATATATGTTTAGATATTTTTAGGAAAAACTTTAACCGTGGTAAGTTAAAAAAAGGTTAATTTTCTACTTTTTCAATTTTAAATTCTATAATCAAAACTCATTGCTTTATAATAAAAAACAAAGATAAAGATATTTCCAATCTTTAATAACAAAGAGTATCTAGTAAGTAAAAGTGACTCTACAAAGATATTTTCTGCCCTTAGTCACCATTGTAACTTTTAAATTTGTCACAAAATAGTGAACAGCACTCCTTTTGGGATCTTATTCAAAATTATTTTCTTTATTTTGTTTCCACATATAATTATCAGGACACAAATTTACCAATTTAGAATAATAAGAAAAGGAATTGCAAGGTCTGCTGCATTATTACAGACCTTTGATATATATGTCATATGTTACATATATCACATATAATATTATGCCTTATTAATGTATGAGTATATTAATTTCTTATGGCTGTTGTAACAAATTGTCATAAACTTGGTCACATGAAACAACAGATATTCATCTTTTCATAATTCTGGAGGCCAAGATTTTGAAATCAGTTTCACTGGTTAAAATGAAATCAGTTTCACTGGCTAAAATTTCAGCAGCTCTAGGGGAAATCTGTTCTTTGCCTTTTCCAGCTGCTGGTGGTTGCCAGCGTTCCTTAGCTTGTGGCCACATCACTCCAATCTCTGCCCCTCATCTTCACATTGCCTCTTCTTCTGTGTGTATTAAATCTCCCTCTACCTCCCACTAATAAGGATACATAGGATGGCATTTAGGGCCCACCCAGATAATTCAGGATAATCTCTCACCTCAAGATTCTTAATTTCATCACACCTGCAAAGACCCTTTTTCCAAATAAAGTAACATTTATAATTTCCAGGAATTAGAACCTAATATCTTTGGGGTTCAGCCTAAAAAATGACCTCGTAAATACCCATGTACATATATATTGACTCAGTCTAATATTAAGAGAATAGTGTAAAATTCTTTTCCCTAATATAATAAGTGATTTTGAGACTAGGCAAAGTGAAGGCCTAGCAAATGGATTTCTTGATTAGGCCCTGACTTCACTCACTGGGAAGAACTCATTTTTTTTTTTTGTCTTCTGTGGTCTCTGGCTCCACCCTCTGGGAAGGTCCTCTGGCGTTATCCTCCTTGTTCATATCTAAAGCATGTGCTGAGGAGTTGGCTTTCCTTAAAGCCAAGCCACTTTTGCAGCTCACTTCCTGACCAAGCGTTGTTTTAACGTTCACCTAACAAGTCAGACTTATGTTTGGTTTAGTTTTTAGCAATACAACTTCCTCAAAAACTTCAGTTTCATATGTTTGTTTCTAGTAAGTCACATGTGTCAGTAACTATATCCAAAGTTCTTTCCAAGCCACAGTTATCAAGTCTATTTTATTTCATTGTTCTCTCTTCCCCAGATTAATGGTGACTATATTGAGCAAAAAGTTCAACCTTTGATCTAACCTTTCCTGCAAAACTGTGTCACGTTATCCAACTGAGAAGTCTCATTGAGTCTGTTGCTCAAAGCCTTTTTTTTCCATCGCTTACTCTTTGGAGTCTTAGAAGCTGTAGGGGTTTGTCCATCCTTGCAAGTCATTTTAATTTTAAGATTGTCTCTATTTCCTTTTATTCCCTCAGTTACCCACCCTGAATGAAGTGAGAGAGTTTGCTACTCAAATATTTGGGAAGAGTATTTCAGACGAAGGGAATAGCAAGTGCAAACGCTTTGAGATATGTCTGAAAAAGGGTAAGGAGGCCAGAATGGTCACAAGAACAAGGGAGAGGTCAGAGAGGTAATGGAAAACAGGTCATGTAGGGCCTTGGGAGTCAAGGTATGGACCTTAGCTTCTATTTTGAGTGGGATTGAAGGGTTTGAAAAGCGGAATGACATGACTTGACTTACCAAAAAGTCACTCTGGCTGATATATTGAGATGAAACCACAGGGGAGGAGAGAAGCAGGAACCCTGGATAAGAAGCCATTGTAATCATCCAAGTGAGAGGTGATGGTAGTTGACCAGTACAGTGACAGTGAGAATGGGGAAATTCAGTGTATATTTTGAAAGTAGAGTCAAGAGGATTTGCTGAAGAACTTATTGAGGGGTTAGAGAGAAAAGAAGGGACTGTTAACGTTGACAACAATGATTTAGGCCGAATACATAAAAGTTAACATTAACTGAGATGGGAAGGACCACGGCAAAAGTGGGACTAGGAAAAAGAGGAATATTATCTGGAGCTCAAGTCTAAACATGTTAATTATACCTATTAAATATGCAAGTGGAAATGTCAAATCGGAAGTTGTCTATATTGGTGTAAAATTCAAGGGAGAAGTTTGGATAGAGATATAAATTTAGAAATCATCAGAAATTAGTTGTTTAAGAGAATTAATGCCATATATCAAGGTTTTATACTAAGATAAAATTTTAAATATTTTATATTTATTTTGTGAATATTTAGTATTTTATACTCTATTTCTAATAAATAATGGAGCAATTGATTTAACTGTGTGATTTTAAGTTATGCTTATGTTTACAGATAATACATTGACTTATTTAGGAGTACTTTAGGTTTTTCAAATTTGTAAATTTAATTTATTAGATATACATTAAGTACTCAATAAGATTTTGTTAATTAAATCTCTTCAACTGCACTATGGTTGAAGTACTTAAGAAAGAAATCACATATACTAAGTTTAAAAAAACAATTTAAAATGTCGGAAGGTACTGAATTAGCCAAACTTGTCAATGGAATCAAGTATTATTCAGAATTCAATGACTGTTAAAACCGGCTCAATTTATAGAGGAGGGTTTTTAAGCTGAATTAAGCAGCTCTAGAAAGAATTAAATCTTTGAATCTGTAACAATTCATTTAACAATAATTTTGAAATCCAAAGTAAACTTCTAAACATTCTTTTCTGTATAAGTAGCTGACACCATAGTAGAAAAAATGCCAAATGTTGAGATAATACATTTTTGACATTTGTGTCTTGAAAGCAAAATATTCAAATGTTGGTAAAATATTTACTATTACATAGGCCAGTGTTTCTCAAACTGTTCTGGCAATTAGCTCATGGTAAGAAATATAATTTATATTATGACACAATACACACGTGTACACACATAAATACACACACATAATATATATTATATAATTAAACAAAAAGTTCCATGAAACTCAAGGGGGAAAAGCATGGGGGGGGGTGGGATGAACTGGGAGATAGGGATTGACATATATACACTAATGTGCATAAAATAGATAATAAGAATCTGCTGTATACAAAATTTTTTAAATTTTTTTAAAAAGTTCCGTGAAACCACATGTACCTTACTACCTGAGATTAACTTTGATAAATCTACCTTTAATGATATACTACATGGATTTCACTGCCAACTAATGGATCATAACCCACAATTGGAAATACTGCTGATCTAAACTAAGGTCAAGCATTATAGGATTTTGAAACAAGTAAATTATCTTATGTTTACATAACTGTAATTTAACAAAGATATGCACGTACTATGAATGCGTATTTGTGTATCGCTCGGATAACAGTTTTAAACAGAAGCTTGCTGGTGAATGTATAACCATGGTATACAACAGGTTCATTTTGTGATCCATCCCAGCAGTCAATTTCCAGGCAACGGCATCCTTTCACAAGGGCACTAGTAAAATTTAAACAAAATAAATGGTCATTCCTAGATCATGGTTTATACCTTTAACAAAATACTACATGAATTTCATTCCCTATTAATAGATCAAAACCCTCTATAGTTTTGTGGGAAAAAAATTTTTCATGGAGGACAACCTAAATAATACTGATTCTTGCTACATCTCTAGATAGGTTTAATTACATCCTTAGATCAAGCCAACCTTTACCAAGCTGCTTATTTTAACTACACGGTTTGGTCCCCGGCAAAAATGTTTTGAGTGGATTGCACTGTGTCATGCCAACCCTTTTACTCAGAAGCATGTAAAAGGAAGTTGTCTCTCCCCCAGCGGTGGTGTGGAGGGCACTTTTCACTGTCTCACACGGAGTGAAATGAATGAATAATGACGTGGGAACGAATGAAAATTTGTCTCTCACTCAGGAAAGAAATTCTCCACTTAAATAAGTTTAAGGGGCTTTTTGTGGATTAAAATATTTAATGCAGTTAATATTAGTTTTCCTCTTTTAAAGAGGAGGAAACTGAGACACAAAAATGTTATATCTATCATATAATTAACAAATGAGAGAAAGGGAGGAAAGATTAGCACCAGAAACTTAAATATTAATAGGTAAACATTGCATTACATCACCTCTCATAAGTAGAGAAATTTTGAAAGACTTGCATTTTGAGTGTATCTTCCACAGGTGTGTAAGGAAATAGAGGAAGAAATACAATTAAACTTAACTTTAAATTTTCACATGGGTGGAACACTTTCTTGGAATTCAAAAGTAATTTTCTGTATTTCTAAGTCAACCTGTTTAAAATGTGTAGTTTCTCTCTTTAAAAAATTAATATAATGAGGTATGAATAGAAATTTCTGTAATAAAAGTAGAGCTATGAATGGGGCAATCTTTACAGGATTCTAAACAGATATATTTCTGAGTTTGTGGATTTATGTATTTACTTAGATTTTAAACTGGAGAAGCAATATTAATTTCTAAGTTTGATGTTATCATGGGACTATAAGATATCTTTTCTATGATTTTTCCTAAGTAATATCACCCAATCACATAGCTTTGAATATCACCTATATACCAATGGCCTCCAATCCTATTTTTCCAGTCTGGATACTTCTTCTAAATCCCAGACACATACACTCAACTGACTATCTGACCTAGCCCTTTGATAACTAATTGATATCTCAAACTGAACATGGCCATCACAGAACTTTTGCTTTTGCCTCACAACCTACAATGGCCTCCTCTCCCAGGCTTTACCACCTCTGTCCATAATGTCATCATATCCTAGGTTATCAGGTCCAAAATCCTGATACTCTCTTTCCCTCATACCTCTCTTCAAATCACCGGGTGAATCACCTTGTTGGCTCTGCCTCCTTAAAATATTTCAAATTCAGCCCTCTATCTCAGCTGCTGCCTCATGAATTCACCATCTAAATGATCGTCATCACCTGGACTGCTACAATGTCTTCCCAAAGCATCTTCTACCTCCACTCTTGCACCATCAGTCTTTCCTCCACAGTAAAAAGTAAATCAAATTATGATATTATCCCAAGGAAATTCCCTCCAATGGCTTCCCAATGCAACTAGAATAAATCCATTTTCCTTTCCAGGGTCTCCAAGACCCTCATAAATGCATCCTGTCTACCTCCTCAAGCTCACCTCCCTTCATTCTCCATTTATTTGTTTCCACCCACACTTGCTGTCTTTCTCTCATGTGAACATGCCAAGCACTGATTATTTCTTCTACTTAGCATGCCCTTCCACTAGACCTGAAACTTCCTCTTTATCGTCACTCAGACCACAACTATATCCTCTTGAGAAGGCTTTCCTGACCCTTCAATTAAAGTAACACCCTTCACCCCACAATTACCTTAGTTCATCTTCTCCATGTGAATCAGTCCCTGGAAATATCGATTTGTTTATCTGCTTATTAGCTGCCTATTCTCATGAACAAATGAGTGCAGCAACTTTGAAAATCTTGCTCACCACTGTATCTTCAGCTGACTGACTAAACTGAAGCTGAAACTAAACTGGTATTAACAGTATGACACATTGTAGAACGCAAAATTAATGGTGCAGCGTAGACTGCCTTTAATCTATGTAAATCGTCTGACATATAAGTATATATATTATCTATAAAGGCCACATTATATAATGTATGTGTTGGTTTTCCTTATAGCACTGAGATGTCTGAGAATTAATTTTAACCATATTATTTTAGAAACCCCAGATGTTCTGATTAGCTAAATAAGATTTTTAAAGTCTTCTTCACATATTTTCCTATACGAAGTATCCAAATTGCTCAGGAAACTTCCAAGGGCCAATAACTGGGGAGAGGAGGTTGGCAGACAGGATTAGAAGGGAAGTGTATGATAATAATATATTGAATACATTATACAACCACCCAAAGATTGGATATCCAAGATATGCACGAATCAAAATTCCTCTTCCCTATGTGTTTTTATAACATGCATAGCCTTCTTTTACTGTGAATTATTACCTACTGAGGTAGACACCACCAGGAACTTTCAAACATCTTTAAAATATAATGGATTTAAAAATCGAAATACCTTACATATCCCCAAAGGTCACTTGGTCCCACTAATTGGTCAGATATCAAGTACGTATTATGTGAACTTGAAATAAAATAATCACTCAGTGGATGAGTCATATCTTGATAAACACTTTCATACTTATTATTAAATAGTAGACATTCAGACGAATCCATGTATCTTGTAAAACCTTCAAATGACATCTGGTGTGCTTGTTTAACTATGAAAATAAATAAAAAGAATGCAGAAATATCATTAGTAGTATATAAATTACATCTCACTTTAAAACTTAGTAGCAGAGTTTGTTTCTAGAATATTCATTTAGAATTAATATTAATACTATTTTTAATGTTTCTTTGGAAGCAAATTTTTCTAAGGTTCTTATATTTAGTTCTTTTATATCAACATTCAAGTAGATTATATATTATTTAATCTCTGATTTTTAATATTTTAAAAATACATACAAGAAAAGTACATATGTCATAGATCCATTCATTTCCACAAGCTAAACATCTATGTAACCAGCACCAAGGTGAAAGAACAGAGCAGCACCCCAGAAGACCGCCTCCTGCTAACTTTCTAGTCTTCCTCCACCCACACCCCACCCCCAAGTGTATTCAACGGTCTGGCTTCTAGCAGCATAGATTCCATTTTCCCTGGTTTTTGTGTTTTATATAAATGGACTCACACAATATGTATTTTTTTGTGACCGGTTTATTTTGCCTGACATTGTTTATAAGATTTATTCTTGTAGATGCACACAGTTAGACATTTTTTATTCCCATTTGTATATAGCTTTCTATTGTGTGAGTACACCACAATTTGTTTATCAATTCTATTCTTGATGGGCATTTAGATTATTTCCAGTTTGGGGTTATTATAAAAAGTTCTGCTATAAACAACCAGGACATGTCTTTTGGTGCAAATATGTACATGTTTCTGTTGGGTGCATGCCTATAAATGCAACTGCTGAGTCATTTGCATATTACCATCTTTAGCAAATGATCTCTGCACTTTTATACTCAGTATCATATAAACCAAAATTATCTATTTAAGCAGAACACTGGCTCTGGAATGAGACAGCTTGGGTTAAATCCATTTATTTGTTATATGAGGAGCCTGTTAATTAACTTCTCCCTATCTTCGGAATGGTGGTACAGTAAGTCCCCTACATACAAATCTTCAAGTTGCGACTTTCAAAGATGCAAACTTGCATTTGCATGTCCAATCACATAAGTTAGCTCATGTGTCTGGCGTACACTGTCACGTGCATGCATCCTCTACAAGTGGTTGTGCTTCTGTATACTTTACTGTACAGTACTGTATAAAGTAGTACAGTATCTTTACTTCAAGCCCAGGATGTCCAGAAGCAAGCGTAAAAGCAGCAGTGATGTAGCTGGTACTACTGTACTTTTCAAGGTAATGTACTGTAAGATTAAAAATGTTCTATTTTTTGTGTTTGTTTGTTTTTTATGTATTATTTGTGTGAAAAGTATTATAAACCTATTACAGTACAGTACTATATAGCCGATTGTGTTAGTTGGGTACCTAGGCTAACTTTGTTGGACTTACGAACAAATTCGCTCTCAGAACAGAACTCGTTCGTATGTAGGGGACTTACTGTAATCATAACACCCATCCCTGCATACTAACTTTATATATTAGCTCTATAAAGGTTAGTTACTGTTGCTTTTGTTGCCGATTACTCAGTTTGCCTCAAATTAAAAGTTGGTGTGAGTATTCACTTTAGAATAGAGAGTGTTGATCCTTGGCAAAGAATTTTATTTCTGGGAATTTATACTACAGAAATAGAGCCTCAGACAAAGATGGATGTGCAAGAATGCTCACACTAGCATTATTTATAAAAGCAAAATAAATGAGGGGAGGAAACAAATTAAATCTCAAGCTATGATACAATACTAAGCAGCCGTTACAAATAATGTATCAGAAAAAAAATATACAGTGACATAAGTAAATGTTTATGACATCATAAAAATGAAAAAGCCAGCATTCAAAATGCTCTTACAATTTTGGTTTAAAAAAATGAAAGCTAGAAGAAAATACATAAAATGTTTACAGTCATGCAAACTATTTCAGTTATGCAAATTTAGAAACATGTGAGTGTATGGGGCAAAGGCATCATATATTTTAATAGTAACGATTTGCATGAATTTATTCTTCTTCCCAGTGCAATTAGCAGTGATTGGCCTATAGCCCTTGTGAACTATTAACTAATTAAGTAACTATCTTTGGTACTGGAATAGAAAACAAACTCCTCTTATGCCTTTAAAAACTACCAGACTGAGAATTAATCTCATGGATTTTTATTTTTAAAATAAAATGAGGTTTTCCTTATTTGGTATTGACATATGTCAAGTATCAATGTGGGATGAGACTGAGAAACTTGGCAGCATTTGGGACTGTAAGATCATAATTCAAATTGACCTTAATAAGTCTCTAAAGTGATCAATAGCCATGTAAATGAAATGCAAGGTCTTGGCTGTGTGAAACTATCTGAATGGAAGCAGAGTAAGGCCCAAAAGATGAAATAGATGAACAGTGTAATATTATGGTTAAAATACAAACACAATTCCAGGATGTCACTGGCACCATCCCATTATCCCTTTGTATCTTTTAATTTACCACCTGCAGGTAACAGTGGCAATTTTTTTTTGGAATATTGACTGGAATAATGCTACTAAAAGCGCTTGTCTGTGAACTGGTTGTTTCCAGGTGGCAATGACATAAAGGGCTTGAACCAGAGCCTAAATCAATTCACTACTTTCTTAGAGAAGGTCTTTGCTATTGAAAGGAAAGAAGTCAGCTGGACTCATCAGATGTGCTTAGAGATGTACTTTGTTTACGTTCTGATGCAAGCTCTTTATCTTGTTCCAAACCTGCAAAGTTTTAATCGTGATCAGACCAAACTCTTACTAGCACTATCTTCAGTCTTACCACCATGGTACTTAAAAGCCTCCAAGGTCTTTACGTGGCACTGAATCATGAGCCAAAATCTTAATTGTGGCCAAAAAGACCAACATGACTTAATCCCTGTCCAAACGCCTTTAGCCCTCATTCTCCAGGTTCCAACCACACTGTCCTCCTCTTGTTCCTCGATTCTCCAACTCAGGGCCAACACTTCTCTTGTCACATGTCTAGTTCTTTCTCCCCACTTACGTCTCAGCTCAAATATCGCATCCCCATCGAGGACTCTCCTAAACAACCAAGCTATGGGGACATATGTATAACTGATTCACTTTGTTATAAAGCAGAAACTGACACACCATTGTAAAGCAATTATGCTCTAATAAAGATGTTTAAAAAATAAAAAACAACCAACTTGAGCTAGACCTCATGCTTGTCTACTCTCTATTTTATTTTTTTCACAGTACGTAGCACTCCCTGAAATTATCCATTTGTAAGTTTAATTATTTATTGTCAATCTCCCTCCAACCCCTATCAGGAATATGAAACCTAGTTTGCCTTGTTCTCCACTGTATCCCCAGCTCCTAGAACCATACTCGGTGGCCACAGATAAACATTTGAATAGATTATGAATGTATGAGCCCATGAAGGAATAAGTCTTGTTTTGTTAGGACCCATATTATCGTATGTTAAGCATTGATGGCCATAAACCAGTTTTCAAAGGCAGAACTTGGGCTTTCATATATCCCTTGTTAATAAATATTTTGAGCTACTCTATTAATTTCTGTAGGGTTAAACAGCATGCTTTAATAGTGTTTTTTGTGCATATTTTATTACATTATTATTTTATTAAAAAATAAACATAAATGGAAAAAACTGAAATATTTTAGCCTATGAAAGATGAGACAGAGATAAAAAACTATATGACAAAAAAAAAAAAAAACTATACAACAGCTCACTAGCCAAAATGGTCATTGAACTTAAACCAGATGACTGCATTCAAAAAATAAAAGAAAAAATGTTTTAATGTTTATGAAATGTTGTAGACAATTATGTGTATAAACAACAGGGAAATTAGTGATTTTATAATGTTTTATTCTTTCCTAGAATTGTTTTCATTTAGCTAATTTAATATTCATATATTTTTCAATAAGATAGTGTATAAAAATGGAAAAGTGCCTATACCTGGGTTTTTATCTTATTAATGAATATCAAGACCCTTTCTTCCATTACAGTACTTGTAATAGAATCATCATTTTGCTTTTCTGAATAAGCTAATCTCTGAACACTTGAGAGATATACAGAAGCAGCTAAAAGAAAGGAACAGGACAATGAAAGAATGCCGCTGTTACACAACAAAGCTTTCTAAAAGATACATCTGCTGTCTGTAAAATATGAAATTAAAACAGCCAACATATAATATTACCCATAAGAAATCTGACCTAATCAAAAATTTGAATTTAATAAGTGCAAATCTTAAAAAATAGTTTGCATATAAATATTTGATAAAACTTTGAAATACAAGCATACCTTCTTCAATAGGCTCATATTTTTGAATGATCTCAGAAGCAATACTTTTATTAATGTCAAGTGTATACTGCTCTTGTGTCAAAAATTGGGCCAGATTCTTTTCAAAAAGAAATTTCCGGTTTTCAGAATACGTGTTGAAAATCTCAATGATTTCTTCTCTGTGTGCAATAATTCGATAAATTGTTCTAAATTCTTCTATGGTGATTCTTCCTTGCTTCAGCCTGTCATTATCCTACTAAAAAAAAATGACTGGTGGGCTCACATTGTGAACAGAAAAAATACACAAAATGAAGACGTTAGAGTATTTGTGTAACGTATATACCAACTTATACTGGAAAGAAGTTACATTGGATTCTTATTTCAGATAAAATACATAAAACTGCATGAAATGGTGCCAAAGTTGGGGAAAGGTTAATGGATCATCACCACTTAAAACCCAGTGGCCAGAGCTGCCCAGTTTAGGTGAAGAAGTGTATCCTGCCCCTGGGGAGAGTTAGAACCCTTACGCAGTTCTTTACCTGGAAAGACTTGCCCGAATTCAGGCGAAGCTGCTAGAGATTCTTCCAGACTTAGGACATCCCAGAACCATTTGGATTTACCTCAGACCTTCTCCTCACTGTGGTGATAACATATGCCATCCCATAGAGCTCACTATGGTCTGTTGTTTTGTCCCTGCCTAGTTGGTTTCCTCTATCAAAAGCTTTGTTTTGGGCACTTGGAAACTGAAATCTAGGACATGTGTCCATCATGAAGGGAAAACAGACCTGTGGTTTCAGATCTGCTCGGTCTGAATGGGAAAGGAAAGGTGATCCAGCAGGGGTGCAGGATTGCAGAGGGAAATGTTGACTCTGAGAAGTCATGGAACTTTCAGGAACATGTGTCCTACAGAGTCAGAAATATGAATCTAAATATCTGGAGGGGGATACAGGCTTGAGATGAACATGCTGGAGTTATTCCTGGGTGGATGTTTGTAAATAAATGGTCAGAAATAAGAAGACCCTCTCTGTAAAAAACAAAACAAAAACAACCCAATAGCCATAGTTGGAATGGAAAGAAGTATGGGAGAAGATGAGGATTCTAGGTTATCTTTCAATTACACATTTCATTTTTCTATTCTACTCTATTTGAGTAGCTTCTTGAAACCATCCAAACAGTATGTAACCCCATGTCATCAATAGGCATCCTGCACCATAAATGTCAGAATAAATCAGTCATTCAAGATCACTGTAAATATAGAAGCTGCAATAGGTGGTAATAATTTGAGGAAGTGGAATCTGCATAATCACTGAAGGAACTGGGAGAGGGACAAACAAGGTCAGTTTCGATGAGAAAGAGTAGCTTCACCTGGTTGTTCTGGAAAATTCACATTTGAACTTTATGAGATAAGAGACAGGAAAGTGGGCTGGGTCCAGTTATTTAAAGTAACAGAATCACTGTGAGGTTCTGAGTAGGAAAATGACTAGCATAGGAGAGGTTTAGTTGTGATTAGTTGTGCATTACTGATGGGAAGAGAAGGAGAACTGCAGGTAAGGGAAGAGAGAAGATGCCATCCAGGTGGGAGGTGGTGAGTAGAAACTAAAGAACAGGTGTCAGTAAAATCATGAAGAGAGAAGTCAGAAGGATTCAACACATTAACATTTTAGATGCATGAGGGAGAGAAGTCAAGAAAGTCTGGAGTTGGGGAGAGTTAGAATAACTAGTAGAATTAGAGTATCACTTACAAATAAAAAACTGAGGTATAGGAAGTGCACCTTAGAAGGACATTTAATTTCCAAAGAGGCCATTTATATTTTAATTTTCTCAATACATTGCAAAGTACTTAAGCTTAAGTACAAAAAGTTCCTGTTAAAGGGCCACTGTATTGTGGTGAAAAGCTGACAATCTGTAGACAGTCTGAGCTGACATTATATTCCTAGCTCCAAAGTATGTGGGATTTTGAACTTCTAAATTAAACTATGAGCTTCATACTCTTCATCTGCAAAATGGGGATAGATAGCACTACTTATGTCACAGGTTGCTATGAGGATGGAGATATCAGTGTATTGTTAGGTCTCATCTATGTCTGTTTCCCTCACACCCTCCAGCCTAGCGTCTCATCTTTTGACAAATTTAACTATAAAACAACCCTAAGGTACAACAGAGGATAAACATGCTGGAAATGATCTCTTCACTTTTTAAGGAAAAGTTCACTGGTGGCTACCGGAGAGTTTGATCTGAGGAATCCAAGAAACAGTCTGAGCTGGGAATCAAGTAGGAAGAGCACCAGCTTACTTCAAGGAGGAGCATTAATTTACACGTACAGAGCAGCTTGAAGAAGCAGGGGCTGGAATGGAGCCCCATTGGGAATGAGACGGTGATAAGCTTGGGAAGAAGGTTGGAATCGGTGGTCGTCAAATAAGAAGTTGGGTCTCCAGAGCTCATTAAACAATAATAGCACCTTAAAATTACAAAATCTTAAAAATAATTCATATTATCAATAATCTCAGTAGACTATGAAGTTCAACTTACTGTTTTGAAATTCTGGATTTTGAGGTCCACATAAGTCAATGTTACAGAATTAATTTTGTTTTTAATTTAGCTCCATTTTGCTCATAATTTGTCATAAGATCTTAAGCAAGTCAATAAAAATCAAAGTGTGCCTGTAATTCCCAAAACATTTTGTCATGTAAATTGTATGAATTAAAAACTTTTGTCTTACTGAATAGCAGCATACAATAAGATATACTTTATCCACTAAGCAATGAAAATTCTGCTTCTTTCAAGCAGGATATAAACTTGACCATCTGAAATGTCCTCTGGTAACTCGTTCTGTTTTGTTTTTCCCTAAAGATTGAAGTTGTTATCTGATACTAGAAAGAATTAGAGACATAAAGTTGAAACAAAATTCCACAAATACAAATAATTGCTACAATTGATCAAACCCAAAGGAAATGAAGGGTCAAAAATTAATCAAATTACCAAAAAAGAAAAACCACACACAGGAGGTGAGAATCGTATCGTTGAAAATGGGAAGTTCTAATTTTGATAGAAAGAGAAAAGGAAAAGGAAAGCAACAAGGGGTAAGTAGTAAGGAGAAGAAAGATGACAGAGCGTCAGCAGAAGGGAAGAAAGAAGAAGAAAAGTGATAAGCAAGGAAGGTTCAAATCTGAGTACTGAGGCACGTAACAGCAGCCACAACTTGTAGGGTACCAATGTATTAATATCTCCCCTGTAGGAGGGAACTGAAGGTCAAAAATCTTATGTAAATTGTCCCCAGTCTCACAGGCATGGTAGACCAGGACCTGAACTAACTCCAAAACAATAAGGACAAGCAATGGGAGGAAAGAGAAAACAATACACCATTGCACGTATTGAGAGTATATGTGCAGAAATAAACTGTGTCAAATACAAGTCTGATCTCTTTAACTCTCTTAAATTTCTCAGTGTTTCTCCTTTGTCTTCAGGACAAAATCCAAACTATTGTGTGGAATCCAAGACCCTTGAAGACATCACTGATGGTTTCTTCCCTCACCTTCTCCCTTGCACTTCACACTGCCTGTGCTCTGAATTAGTTGCAGTATAAACATCAAGCTGTCTCTTGCTATTGTAAAGGCTGTTTCTTGTCTGGAATGCCCTTCTTTTATTGTACTTCTTAACTTACGAATTTCTACTAATCCTTGAAAAAGTGTCCTTCTCTAGAAGTCATCCCTTATGTCCCTCTGTGTCTCTTCCTCAGCCCATGTTAGAGAGTCCTACTCAGGATTCTTATACGATTCTGTACCTTCTTCTCTCCTAGGGTTTATTACACTGGAATTAAAGCCTTTTTTTCTACTTCTCTTCTAGAATTGCCAAATTGTCTCAGACAGGAAGTCTGTCATCTGTTTCTTGTATCCTAAGTACTTATAAGAGTGTCTGACTGAGGTCTTCAGAACTTGGTCCAGCACCTAAACAATTTTATGATCCTGGTGAAATATGTTCATTTAATTGGATAAAGGAGCTAAAAATCTCCCTAAAGCTAGGGAGTGTAGGAAAACTATTTTTAAAAACATATTACAGAAAATATGCAAAATCTCAGGCCCCACTGCAGGGAATACTATAGCTTTTTAAAATGTTACATATTAATCATTTACAGTTTACAACATAAGAGTAATGAAGCCATCTTTCTACTGTTTACAAAAAAAACCCCACGAAGCTCATTAAGTGGTTATTCTTTGCAAGCATTACAAAAAGAACTTTCCCAAACAACTCTTTCATTATTTATGTATAATTTTAAAATGTATCTTTTACCTTAAGACTATGAATCCCATGGAGGTAGATATTTTATACTTATTTTTATTCCCAGTACCTGGTACTGGACCTACCCTAAAGTAGGAAGCTAGTGATTATATGTTTAAATGAATGGCTGAATACAGGAGGATAAAAGAACATATTAAAATAATTCTATTGTTAGTCATTCTGATAGTACACTTTAGAAAACAGAACTAAGCCTTTTCATTTTGTTACCATTCTCCATTGCTCAGTTTGTTAGTAAAAAGATGAAATGTTGCTTTAAAAATGACATGAGAAAGCTGATCTATCAAAACAAGAAATTTTAAAATAAAATGTAACATTTAAAATTATCTCTGAAATTACACTAAAAAACAAAGTATTCAGAATATATTCTAGGAAATCATATGACTTGCAACTTTCTTCCCAAACTCTGACATACTTGTTTAAACTACCTGGCAAACTTGGTTTTTTCTCTTTTTTCATTCTGTTTCCTTCTGCTTCTATTGCACAGATACAGCAGCCAGAGGCACCCAAGTCCCAGTCTTTCCTGAAGAAGGCCTATTTCCATACCTTGGAGACTGTCGCCAAGGCCAGGAGCTTGTGCACACAAGCTGTTTCCCAGAGGACACACCCCTTGATAGTCTGGCTCTGGCCGCCAGTGGGGCTTGTGTTCACGGGTTCAGCAGAACCCTGCCAAACAAAGAGGAAGTCCTTGGCTGGCAGTCCCTCTGGGGCTCCGCTCAGAGGGGATGGACTGATGCCCCCATCTTCCAGTCTTTTCCTGAAAGATGTCTATTTGCACACCTTACAAGCTGCTGCCTGAGGGTCCAGCTTCCAATCAGCCTGCATCTAGATG